AACACCTAACCAGCTTGAGGCCGATGACTGACGTGTCTGAGAAAAAGCTGAAGGTGAAATGTCATCATCACTGCACACGCTTGTGCACGCCAAGAGAAAACCCACCACCTGGCAGAGTTTAGAGATGGCTTGGTAACAGCTACACAGAAAACTAAGCCAATGAATAAAAAAAGGCAATTATTAAAATAGGAAGGAGGAAAAGAGTGTTATACAAGAAAGGAAATGTAATCGGAGTCCACTCTGTGGCTCAACTAACTATAAGGCTGATGTAGTAAAAATAACACAGAGATTCAATGCTGACTCAGCCAAAAATCATCATAAAATGAGGATGGAATGAAAGAAGAAGAGGGTTGTGTATCTCTGTGTTTGTGTGCGTGTGGCCTTATTGGGGGGTGGGGGAGAAGAGTCGGTAAGAGATTTAACCAACCATCTTGCACAGTCATTAGAGATAAAGTTAATCGTATCTAAATCTGAAAACTAAAATCAAGAAAGTTATTTTATCAAATTTGAAATGTCACCTATTTAAAAGGATCTCCATTAGTTTATGTACCTCCCAGAATTTAAAAAAAAAAAAAAAAAAGCCAATTAGACCATGACACGCAATCACTCGTAAGACCCAAAGATTTCAGAGGTATTAAAATGGAAGGGAGGGAAAGGCTGTATGGTTTAGAAATATAGTGGTGTCTTCTATGAGAAAGAGCTGAACTGGTTCAAACGGGTTATCTCTGTGGTCCAGGAATCCAGGTGAGGAGGGGTGAGGCACGTGGTTGCTACTTTTGTTGTAATTTTCATTAAACCTTAAAAAATATTGTATGTGTAACTGTATTAATAAGTTTTAAACAAACAAGGAAGAAGAGTATATAACACAACCTCCAATTAAAAAAAAAGCTTTCTCTGCTCCAGTGATCATGACACAGCTTAAATGCTATTTAATGAAACTACTTAACATAAAAACATCTTGTAATTCTCATTATTTTACTATTCAAAATCAACTACAAATGGATGAAGAGAGCTATAAAATAATCCGAAACCCTCGTAAGTTACTATCCCCATATTCTGCTCTCTTCTCTCCAATGGAACAAAATCCAAATATAACTTCTTTTTTGCCTATTTTATAGGTATTTGTTTGCTAGGGCTTCTGAGATGGTGGGTTCTCCAGCCTGATCCTTTCTTACTAGAGGCACTTTACTTTTATTTAACTTTCTTGCCTCCTTAGCTTGGAAAAGCATCACTTTATAAGTGATACATGAGGCACCCATGCCAATGTGTAAGCACAGGTACTGGCTAATCATGCACTTGTTCTCCTGCTTATGAGAAACCAGACTGATTTGGAGTGTGCGTGCAAAAAAAAAAAAAAAAAGCCCTAATTTTTAAAAGAATACTTTATTCTTGTTAGATTTAAACTCTCTCCTGAGAAAAGATATTTATTCTCCCCAAATACATTTTAAAAAACATGCCATTCTTCAGTTTCCCCGTGGGTTTGGAAGTAGTCTTAGATACAGGATTGTCTAAAAAAGAAAAAACGACAAGAGTCTGAACGTTGGGACAGAGTTCAGCCATGTTCTTGGCTGGAATGAGTCCGCATTTACACACTTAAACACACCAACACCATGCAGTAGAGGCAAGGACTCTGGAAGGTCTGACATTTTACCCTACTTACAAGCTTACTCACTAGCCTGCCGTGATTTCAGAGACATGGCAGAAGACATGAGACTCCTGGGTGAGAGACAAAGAATTTTATTGCTCACGACAATAGCGGTAGCCAGAGTATCACCATGGGCACCCACTCCCTGAGGCCCCATTCCCACAGGGCAATGGGAAGGGGGGCCAGGTGATACAAATGGCAGCTTACAATCCAGGGAAAGAACCCAATCTTCTTTTTCCAAATACTTCTATTGTGCTAAAATACACATAACATTTACAATTGTGACTAGTTTCTTTTTTGCATTTGTTCATTTACTTTAGAGGGAGAGAATGCCTGCGTGCAGGGGTGAGAAGGGCAGGGGGAGAAGGAGAGAGTCTTAAGCAGACTCCACGAGCCTGACACAGGGCTCGATCCCATGACCCTGAGATCACGATCGGAGCAGGCACCAAAAGTTGGATGCTTAACCAACTGCGCCACCCAGGCACCCCCAATTTTGACTAGTTTTGAGCATACAGTTTGATGGCACCATATCTTTTATAATGGATACTAAACCTCACTGGCCCTGCACCGCAGGAAGACATTATCCTTATGACACTGGCCAATAAACAAACCTGGCCTTTTCTCCACGCCAAGGGTTCTCATCTCAGTCCTATTAACATTTTGGGCTGAATAACGTTTTGTTGTTGAGGGCTGTCATGTGCATTACCGGATATTTAGCAGCATCCCTGACCACTTCCCACCAGCCGCCAGGAGCACTCCCTCAGTTACAACAATCAAAAAATGTCCCCAGAAATTGCCAAACATCCCTCAGAGGCAAGGCTGCCTCGAGTTGAGAATGATTGTTCCGGAGGAAGTCACTATGTCTGTCTTCTGAGCTTATTCAAAAGATAGTCCAAAAAAAAAAAAAAAAAAACCCAGAAAAGATAGTCCAGAACAAAGGCAATCTGTCCCTCTGCTCATAAGATATGCAAAAACACAAAAGATCCATGGAGAATTGGCTCCCAGCAATATTTACTTCTAAAACTTGATCTGTTATTCAGGCATAGATACATTACTTGGCCGATTACACATGATATTTGCGCACACACACACACCCTTGCCCATGGCCCTTTGGCTAAAATTATAACATGAACCATTGAGATGATAGGGAATCAGTCCCAAGAAATTAACTGGGTACGGCCCGAAAGGGGGTGTACGTAAGTGTCATTCATAGCTGAGCCAAGTAGTATATGACGACAACATTTCCTTTCCTGTGCAGGAATTTTTTCCTTCCTTAAGCTAATAATTGGCTTTTTGGGGTTTGGGGTTTTTGTTTTTATTTTTTGCATCTAATACTCTTTCCGCAGATCACTCATACAATTTGAAATTGGACAGACTTGCATTCAAATACAAACTTCTCTATATAATGGGACAAGCTTGGACAAGCAGGTCCACCTACATGAGCTCACTTTCTTTCCCTACATAATGCAGGGGTGATAAGACCTGTGTTTCAGGGCTGTCATCACAATTACATGAGATAAAAGTACCTAGTACGGTGCCTGGCACTTGGGAGGTACTTAGTAAACAGTACCTACGGCTTCATGAAAAGCACCAACAGAGTACATCTGCAGAGTTGTTCTTAATCGTCATGGAGCTTTACGCTTACTTCTCCACACCCTCACTTGGTTCTTCACAGTGCTGATAGCACAGCTGCTGAGGACAGGGAGCAGAAGGTCAGCAGGCCATATAGTGAGAATGACTCTGACACTGGACCCCGTAAGTATCTCTCACCAACCACGTGCACCAGCCAATTCCAGCCCTATTACCAACGGGGTCAAAGAAGAAAGGCGTTCTGACCTTTTTTTACCGGGTTTCATTTCCTTCGAAGTGACATCGGTGTGTTGACATTGCCCAGCTTTCGCCAGTCTGTTTACCCAGTGTCTCTGCGTGCTCGCATGTTAATAAGCTAACCCTCTCCAGTCAAATGAGAAATGGAGCTCTGCAAACACTTAGCCAAGGCTGTTCAGGTAGCGTCAGAGACCAGCTCCTTCCCTCTGTCGGCTCCCCTTCCTGCGACACAAAACTTAGGAGTAACGAAACCCCTATCACAGGTTTTGAAACTTGTTAAGTGATTAACAAAGAGATTTCTCTTTTGGCAATCGCGGTCTGATTCTGTCCTGATATCATCTGGCCTTCTGACTCCGGAATAAATTCGTCTTGTGTTGGGCAGCTGTTCGGTGCTCTACATCCATGATGATTACTCTTCTTTGTCTTCAAACGTAACATTTAATTACAGCTTTCATAGAAGACTTAAAATTCCATTTTCCCTCAAGAAAAAAAAATACCTATAACTGGAGTTTATGAAAAATTATTAGTTGTGGCTAATCCTGGGTAATAAATTGGATTTTTGAAATCTGTGTGATTTTTAACACATGAGGCTTTTCATCAGGAAGGCGATGCTTATGGGAAATGCCTGTGGAATAATCAAGCAGCAATTTCGCTGCCACGCTGTTAAAGACAAATACAATTGAGAAGATCATCTATGGAACTTGCTGGATTGTGAAATTTGCTTTCTGTAAGGGAAATCTCACATAATAGTCAGAGGACGAGTGACAATTCCTAGTGACTTCCCATTCCCTTGAGCCTGTGGTCATGACATCGTCCTCCCCACCTCGATGCCAATACTCCATCTAGAAATGTAAGAAATCCGGCTGAGTCGTATTAAAAAGCCTCACTGATTTATTTCTTGCATCATTTAACCAACACTAGCACTACTTCATCCCTTCTATAAGCACATGGACACATACACACACACTCACACGCTCACTGTCATTCTCTCTCTCCTACAAGTACCGTGTTCTGTTGGCCGAAAAAGAAAATCAATACACACACAGCAAATAACGCGCACTGTACTTGTATAAGCAATTCTTCTATGAAAAATTAATTCCAACCACAACAATTTCAAGGACCCTAAAGGATAGAATATCACAGGTTTTAAAAAAAAAAATGCTTTTCTGAATGGAGGACCTTTTTTCTAGATAAAAACCCCCAGCCAATATGCTTTTTCTGTATCAAACTTTCTCCCCCTTTGCATCTCCTGGCTTACCCAATCCACCTTATTCTTCAATGCTATTTATTAAAGTTATATCAACATTATTAAAAAAATTAAAATTAAAAAAAGACAACTCAAATGGCTATTCTTTGTAGGACTGCTAGGAAGACCTGAAGGTGTGTTGTGGGTCATTCGACCACCCAGCACCTGAGAGGGTCTAACTAACCAGCCTACTCGTAGGAACAGCCTGGAGCAGATAACACAAAAATTGAAAGAAAAAAGTGGTCATTAGTTTATGCATATTTTTAAAAACATGGCGACTACCTGGTCAACTGGGATCTCAACTTGAGTGTCTTCATCTTCTTGGACTTCTGCTGCCCCCCGTGTCTCAGACCTCTCTGCTCCAGCTTTGAAAACGCCTTCATCTATTATTGGAGACAAATGCACAGTGAAAATCAAAATCCAATGGTGACATCATGTGGCTGAATGTTGAAACTGCAATCAAATACCTAATGAAGATAATGCTTCTTAATAGGTATTTTGCCTCCCTTTGTACTGATAGGGTTTTTGCAGCCCTCCCTCCCCACCCCCTCCGCCACACACACATTTCTGCATTTTCACAGGGAAGAGGGTCAGTGGTGAAGACAAGGCTGACCGAGCAGAGCAGAGCTGTGTCCCAGACTCCTCACCCTCAGGCTGCTGATCTAGTAACACACCCCTGTACAGGTATTTACATAGAAAGGACCTCACACCTGTTACCTGCTCCCCACTCCTATCCACAAAACAGTGATGATGCTTGTTGCCTAAAAATACTAGTTTTAGAGGTTCTTCTTTCCCACGAGAGTGCCAGGCACTGAATATAGTATGTTGGCATAATTCTCTCTATTTGGAGCAATAATAAAAAATATATATGTTTTTCCTGCAACCGAATCATTGATTCTCGGTCTCACACAAATCAGTCTTTTAGTTTGCAGATTTCCACAGGATTTTCACAGCCTAGTTCTCAAAAATCCTTAACCGTAAAATGTAACCTAAACCTCTAAGGCTTTAGGTTAAGCTCCCGTGACTTGTTTTCCCACAGAAAGCAACGATAGCTGTTTTCTGTATCCAAAGAAGTTTTCCTGTTTCCCCTCAGTCTTCTCTCCTCCAGGCCAAGTCATCAAAGCATCACAGAATAGTTTGTCATTCTATCTGTGTGCCCCAAAATAGGCTTAAGGCTTCCGTCCTTCTCACAGATGTTTCCTCTGCCCAATTTTTAAGGATCTCCAGGGATGGAGATTTCACCTCCTTCCCTGGTAATCTACTACAGGACTCCCCCTGCAGTTTAGAAAATATGGTGTCATCTTTTATCTTAAAACCTCCTCTATTTCTCCATTGGAAGCTTGTTTCCCAGAGCACAATTATCTGACATGTGTCACATAATAACACTCCATATTGTTAAAGTTATAAAAGTCACTCGTTATTTATGACGAAATGGAAAACATCCCTTTACATTCATGGAGGATCGAGTATATGTAAGGCGCCATGTGAGTCAAGGTGGCCACCGAAGACATACATGAGATGTCGCTCAGGTTGCTTACAGACCAATGAGTGTATATTTGGAGATGTATACACACCCCCAGTAAGGTATTCCCCTGGAGGAAATGGTAGAACAGGTAAGGGCTGGAGCAGAGCGCCATGGGCACTCAGAACATATAACCAAGTGAAAAAGGGAGGGATGGAGAGAGGAAATATAACCAAACTCAAGCCCTTCTTGTTTCTCCTAGAGAAACCATTTTCCTTTTTAATTACTTTTTTGAAACTTGACTGGATATTAGCTTCTCTAGTCTCCTTTTTAAAAACCAGGGACAACAGAGCTGCCCTCAAAGCTGATTATACACGTTAGATTAATTCACATGGATTAACTCATTTTGAGGATTATCTACAGCAATCATTTAATTCCAGACTGGCTCTTCCTATCATCCAACAAAGTCTTTCCACCCAATGACCCCTTCTTTCCTTCAGCTCTTGTATGCTTAAGCAATCCAGAGTAATTTTTCATTCACTAGAGTTTTCTCAGTTAAATCATCTTACATGTATATCAAAACTGAAAATATACATATATACGGGAATCCCTACAAAATCATCACCAAATGAGGATGTCAGCATTGGCAACTATTCTGGATTATCACTAGCACTAATCCTCCCCAAAGACATGGCCCATGCAGCATATCCAAGGATTATGTCCTGACTTGGTCTTGTCTTACAACTGAGGACATGAATCCACAGTGAAATCTCAGCCAAAACCTCAGCAACATCAGAAGAAAGAATATAGAAAGCAAAATAGAAAATGTGCTGACGGCCTCATGGATGTAGAAAGAAAAGCACAGCGTTTTGGTTACACACTCAACAAAGCCATCCTTGACCTAGCAAGAGTGCAGGGAAGGCTACTTCGAGGGGCTGGGAAAATGGCTCACAATTATTCTGTCATAAAGCAGGAAAAGTGAAAGGGAGTAATCAAGTCTACAAAATTGGGAGTCAACAGATAAACGGTAAGCTCTTGGTCTCTCCATCAAACTCTGGGGAACTTGGAACTCAAGAAAACAATGGCAGAAACTATACAAATAAATTCTGCCTTAGTCACATGTGGAGTTCATAACCTTAAGAACGTGCAGAGGCAAATTTCAAAAAAAGGCTACACAATTTATCAAATGTTATCTCCGGTGTAGTTTTAAAAGGAAAATTAGGCGTGTTTGACATTCATTGCTACCTTCTGGATTACCTTAGAAGACAGTAATCATACTCGTCCCCAAAATGGCCCTTGAGTCAACCTTCAGTGAAAGATGTTGCGCTCTAGTTATGACCTGAGTACATGACATTTTTGGATGACATTTGGGCATCCAAGTGTTACACTTGCTTTCAAAGACACTACCAAGAGAAACCTACAGATACGAAAGGAATACATTCTTAAATACTCACATCCAATGGAATGCTTAGCTGGATCCAACCAGAGCTATGAATGACTTGCAGATGTGTTTTAGAATAAACATTTCATAGGAAAAGAAAAATAAAACCAATAATAACAAACAAAATAAGATTGAAAGGGCACTGGAATGGAAAATGGCAGCCATAGGATATAAAAGGCAAAGGGACACATCTACAAAACTCAACGTCATGTATGGCGACAGAGAGAACAAAGAGACAAACGTGTCCATCTGCAGTGTGGGTGGAGAGCCTTGTTCATCAGTGAACTGATGTGGGAGCCATCTCCTTCAGGGGCACGGAGAAAGAAGGGAAGGTCAGAAGGGAATTCACAGGAACAAATGGTGGGAAAAAAAAGGGAAGAACAGCCAGGAAATTACTCTGTGATGAGAGAAAGCCTACTAGGATTTTCATGTTTATTATACATGTCATAAAATTAAAAACAGAGAAACATGAATTTCTAGAGGAAAAATATTTTTACACAGCATGTATTGATGATACATTGTTTATATAATATGTATGCATTTTAGAAAGCTTGGAAAATGAAGAAAACAAACATCCTTCTAACCTCATGACCCAGAGATAACCACCACTAATAATTTGACAACGGACTCTCTCTCCCTGCCTTTTTCTTTTTCTCCCTCTCTCTCTCCCTCCCTTACACACACACACACACACACACATAAAAGTGGGATCTTATTGTATATATAATTTTTAAGTGTTTTTTGACTTTAAAATCACTTCCTGAGCATTTCCCATATCATGAAATGTTACCTGAACACACAGTAAGTTGCTGGGTGTGGTGGGACCACATTGTAATTAATGACGATACTGAACAATGAAGCATTGTTTTTTTTATTATGTTATGTTAATCACCACACATAACATCATTAGTTTGTGATGCAGTGTTCCATGATTCACTGTTTGCGCATAACACCCAGTGCTCCACGCAGAACGTGCCCTCTTTAATACCCATCACCGGGCTAACCCATCCCCCCACCCCACCCCCCTCTAGAACCCTCAGTTTGTTTCTCAGAGTCCATCGTCTCTCATGGTTCATCTCCCAAAGCATTGTTTTTAAACAAATAGGTAGATTTCACTCATTTGATTGATGAGAAAATATGTATCAAGATCCACCATATAAAAAATCACTCTGGAAAACCTGAAAGGGTGGCTCTTGACAAGCTTAGCAGCTTCTGGAAAACTCACAGACTCGTGGGCTATTTATCTTTCCATGTACCTGCCCTGTAGCTCCTTTCCTGCCTGTGGGTCCTTGTTTCCCAAGAATAAGCACGGTGCACTCCCCACAGTAAGTCCTCAATAAATGCTCACTGAAATTTAAGTGGAAAGATAAGTTCGTGGTTTCATCTCTTCCTGCTCCGCGCCCCTCCCACCCTGCCCCTGCGCACTGAATTTGCTCTTCCAAAACTTCCCCTGAGCCTACGGACATCCCGGTTTTCATACAACTTTCATTGATATGATTAATCGCCTATAAATCCTCAGTCTCTCCACTGAGTGTCTCATTTTGCAGGAAGCCTCGCCCATCTGTCCCTCTCCATCCTGTATCCACCACCTGAGTAGTTTCAGTACCCAGGCGATGAGCCATTCCACACCGTGGCCTGAGTACTGAGTACAACGCCACGGACAACACCAACTAACTCCACTCTAGCACACATCCCCTTCATCCTGTGCAGGCACTTCCACCACAGCCCACCTGCAGAGTCCACGGTGCTCGCTCCCATCTCATGCCTGTACCCTCAACCTCTGGTTTACTCCTTGCACCCTCATCCCCATGCGGCTGCCTGATGGAGTCTGTCTGTAGATCAGTCCGTCTCTAGCTCTCCATTTCTCTGTTCAGCTCTCCACGCTCTGGCAGCACCACCAGCTGCTGCCTCCCTGGCCAACCCAAGCTCCTCTTGTTCACCTTCTAAGTGCTGGACCACCTGGAGCTGCATCGTGGGTTTACTACTCTCCTTGGACAGTCTCATCAAGATCATGGTTTGACATGAGAGACGATGGACTCTGAAAAACAAACTGAGGGTTCTAGAGGGGAGGGGGTGGGGGGATGGGTTAGCCTGGTGATGGGTATTAAAGAGGGCACGTTCTGCGTAGAGCACTGGGTGTTATGCACAAACAATGAATCATGGAACACTACATCAAAAACTAATGATGTAATGTATGGTGATTAACATAACAATAAAAAAGTTTTTAAAAAAAAAGATCATCGTTTGAACACCAGCCATCTGCCAATGACTCTAACCTAGATCAGCCTCCTCAGAGATCCCAAAACTTATATATCCAGTTGTCTAAGTTCACATCTCACCTTTGATATCAAATGGGCATCTCAACCTTAATACGGTCAAAACAGAAATCTGGTCCTCTCCCCTCCACCACCAACTGCTCATCATCTCTCTTCCCCACCCCAGGAAATGGCAGTACCCCTTAATCCCCAAATCTGGGAATT